TATCAGAGGCAGTTTGAGCGCCTCCAGTAGGGTCCCATGACGGTCACTCAGTATGAGACCAGGTTCATCGATCTAGCTCGCCATGCTCTTGTCATATTTCCCACCGAGAGAGAGGGTGAGGAGGTTTATTGATGGTCTGATTCGGCCAATTCGTCTTCAGATGGCCAAGGAAGCCGGGAGTGAGATTACATTTCAGGAGGTGGCCAATGTGGCCCGCAGAGTTGAGATGGTTCTGTTGTAGAGAGATAGTCATGGGTCGGATAAGCGGCCCCGTCATTCAGGTAGATTCAGTGGTACCTCGTCTAGAGGTAGAGATTCATATGGTAGAGGCCATACCCCTAGGCCCTTTCAGTCAGCTCTTCAGGTATCCCATAGTACTTTAGGTGGTCGTGGTTATCAGACGCACTATTCTGATTAGCAGCCTTACAGTGCACCATCAACACCTATCAGTGCAATGCCGCTTAAGAGTTTCCAGGGTCGTCAGCCCCAGCAGTCGAGGGCTTGTTTTACTTGTGGAGACCCGAGGCACATTACCAGGTATTGCCCTCTAGCTTCGAGCATTTCTCCGCATCAGAGTTCCCGTGTTACGGTTCAGGCACCAGATGTTCCACTGTCCGCCCAACCAGCTAGAGGTGGGGGTAGAGGTGCTAGAGGTGGAGGTAGAGGTCCTAGAGGTGGAGCTCAGGCCTCCAGAGGTGGAGGCCAGCCAGCTGCAGGCCATCCCAGAGAGGTTGTTCAGGGTGGTGGGGCCTAGCCCCGATGTTATGCACTTCCAGCCAGGCCCGAGGCCGAGTCTTCAGATGCAATTATTACAGGTACTATACTGGTTTGTGATAGAGATGCTTCAGTGCTATTTGATCCAGGGTCTACGTATTCGTATATGTCATCTTATTTTGCACCAAGCCTGGTCATGCCTAGTAATTCATTGAGTATTCCTGTTTATATGTCTACACCGGTGGGTGATTCTGTTGTGGTCGACCGAGTTCATCGTTCTTGTATTGTAGTATTTGGGGGTGTTGAGACCCGTGTTGATTTGTTGCTTTTAGACATGGTCGACTTCGATGTTATATTCGGGATGGATTGGTTATCCCCGTACCATGCTATCTTGGACTGTCATGCCAAGACTGTAACTTTAGACTTACCGGGCTTACCTCGTTTAGAGTAGAGAGGGACTCCTAGTCATACTACCCGTAGCGTTGTCTTTTATGTGAAGGCTCGGCGTATGGTCGAGAAGGGGTGCTTGGCCTATTTGGTGTATGTTCGCGTTTCTAGCGCGGAGGTCCCTTCTATTGATTCTGTGCCTGTTGTTCGGGAGTTCCCCGTGGTTTTCCCTTCAGACCTGCCTGGTATGCCGCCCGACAGGGATATCGACTTCGGTATTAATTTGGCTCCGGGCACTCAGCCCATTTCTATCCCGCCTTATCGTATGGCCCCGCCGGAGTTGAAAGAGTTAAAGGAACAGTGGCAGGATTTGCTCAAGAAGGGTTTCACTAGACCCAGCATTTCGCCTTGGGGTGCACCGGTTTTGTTTGTAAGGAAAAAGGATGGTTCGATGAGAATGTGCATTGATTACCAGTAATTGAACAAGGTTACAATTAAGAATAAGTATCCACTACTGAGGATTGATGATTTGTTCGATCAGCTTCAGGGTGCCAAGGTATTTTTAAAGATTGACATGAGATCTGGCTACCATCAGTTGAGGATCAGGGCATCCGATGTCCCTAAGATAGCATTCCGCACTCGGTACGAGCATTATGAGTTCTTGGTTATATTATTTGGGTTGACCAATTCCCCAGCAACCTTTATGGATTTGATGAACCGAGTGTTCAAGCCTTATTTGGAATTGTTCGTGATAGTCTTCATTGATGATATTTTGATATATTCCCGCAGTCGGGAGGAACACGGGCAACATCTTAGAGTGGTTTTTTAGACTTTGAAGGATAGTCAGTTATATGCTAAGTTCTTGAAATGTGAGTTTTGGTTGAGTTCTGTGGCATTCCTGGGTCATGTTGTATTGGCAGAGTGTATTCAGGTTGATCCAAAGAAGATTGAGGCAGTCAAGAACTGGTCTAGACCAACATCAGCTACAGAGATTCGGAGTTTCTTAGGGTTGGTAGGCTACTATTGTCGATTCGTGGAGGGGTTTTCATCTATTGCAGCCCCAATGACCAGGTTGACCCAGAAGGGTACCCAGTTCAGATGGTCGGATGAGTGTGAGGCGAGCTTTCAGAGGCTTAAGACAACCCTGACTACGACACCGGTGTTGGTTTTGCCCACAGGTTCAGGACCTTATACAGTCTATTGTGATGCATCTCGTATTGGACTTGGTGCGGTGTTGATGCAGGATGGCAAGGTCATTGCCTACGATTCACGGCAGTTGAAGGTTCATGAGATGAACTATCCAGTGCATGATTTGGAGTTGGCAGCCATTATTCACGCATTGAAGATTTTGAGGCACTATCTATATGGCGTGGCGTGTGAGGTATTCACGGATCATAAGAGTCTTCAGTATTTGTTTAAGCAAAAGGAGTTGAATTTTAGGCAGAGGAGGTGGTTGGATTTGTTGAAAGATTATGACATCACTATCCTATATCACCCGGGAAAGGCCAATGTGGTGGCCGATGCCTTGAGTAGGAAGTCAGTCAGTATGGGCAGTCTTGCTTATATTCCGGTCGGTGAGAGACCGCGTGCTTTGGACGTTTAGGCTTTGGCCAATCAGTTTATGAGGTTGGATATTTCTGAGCCTAGTCAAGTATTAGCTAGCACGGTCACTTGTTCTTTGTTATTGGAGTGTATCCGTAATCGGCAGTTTGATGATCCCCATTTGTGTGTCCTTAGAGACATGGTGCAGTGTGGAGGTGCCAAGCAGGTTACCTTAGGTAATGATGGAGTTTTGAGATTGAAGGGTAGAGTTTGTGTGCCTAATGTGGATGGGCTTCGAGAGTTGATCTTAGCGGAGGCCCATAGTTCCCGGTATTCTATTCATTCGGGTGCCACGAAGATGTATCAGGATTTGCGGCAGCATTATTTGTGGCGTAGAATGAAGAAGGATATCATTGCCTACGTGGCTCGGTGTTTGAACTGTCAGCAGGTTAAGTATGAGCATCAGAGGCCTGGTGGTTTATTTCAGAGGATTGAGCTTCCCTAGTAGAAGTGGGAGGGGATCACTATGGATTTTGTTGTTGGGCTCCCGCAGACTCAGAGGAAGTTCGATGCAGTTTGGGTCATTGTTGATAGGCTGACCAAGTCAGTGCATTTTATTCCTGTGGCAGTTTCCTATTCATCCGAGAGGTTGGCTGAGATCTATATCCGATAGATTGTTCGCTTTCATGGTGTGCCGGTGTCTATTATTTTGGATCGAGGTACACAGTTTACCTCGCGTTTCTGGAGAGTAGTTCAGCGAGAGTTAGGAACCCAGATTGGGTTGAGTACAACATTTCATCCTCAGACGGACGGGCAGTCCGAGCGGACTATTCATATATTGGAAGATATGTTCCGAGCTTGTGTCATTGACTTTGGAGGTTCGTGGGATCAGTTTTTTCCTTTAGCAGAGTTCGCCTATAACAACAGCTACCAGTCGAGTATCCAGATGGCTCCTTATGAGGCTTTGTATGGTAGGAGATGTCGATCTCCGGTTGGATGGTTTGAGCTAGGAGAGGCTCGGTTATTGGGTACGGATCTGGTTCAGGAGGCCTTGGACAAGGTCAGGATCATTCAGTATAGGCTTCGTACAACTCAGTCCAGGCAAAAGAGCTATACAGATTGTAAGGTTCGAGATGTGGCTTTTATGGTTGGTGAGCGGGTATTGCGCCGAGTGTCGCCTATGAAGGGCGTGATGAGATTTGGGAAGAAGGGCAAGCTTAGCCCTAGGTTCATTGGTCCATTTGAGATTCTTGATCGAGTGGGGGAAGTGGCTTATAGACTTGCATTGCCGCCGAACTTATCAGCCGTGCATCCAATGTTTTATGTGTCCATGCTTCGGAAATATCACGGCAATCCATCCCACGTGTTAGATTTCAGCACTGTCCAGTTGGACAACGACTTATCATATGAGGAGGAGCCGGTAGCTATTCTAGACCAGTAGGTTCGTCAGTTGAGGTCGAAGCGTTTTCCTTCTGTTTGTGTTCAGTGGAGAGGTCAGCCCCCTGAGGCATCGACCTGGGAGTCCGAGTCCGATATGCGGGACCGTTATCCTCATCTTTTCCCCGACTCAGGTACTTCCTTCTTCTGTCCGTTCGAGTACGAAAGGTTGTTTTAGAGGTGGAGAATGTGACGACCCAAAGGGGTCATCACCTGTTTATAATTGAAATCTGTGTCTCCGAGGCCCTGAGAACCTCATTTAGAGTTGCCTCGATTTGTGTGCGCAGTCCAGGCGCGTAGCCGGAAAGCTTAAATATGAAATTCTGTGAAAAATGCTAAATTTTAAAGTTAAAATGAATAAATTTGACTCCGGTCAACATTTTAGGTAAATAGACTCGGACCCGTAATTTGACAGTCCCGGAGGGTCTGTAGGAAAATATGGGACTCGGACGTATGTCCGGAATCGAATTCCGAGGTCCCAAACCCGAGTTATGAATTTTTAAGTGAAATTATTTTCTGAAAATGTTTAAAGAAAATTGAAATGAAATCTGATGTGAAAGTAATGGTATCGGGCCCGTATTTTGGTTCCGACATCTAGTACAAGTCTAATATATGTTTTGAATCACTCTTGTAAAGTTTGGTTAAAAACAGACATCGTTTGACGTGATCCGGACTCTAATTGGGAAATTGATGTTTAAAAGGAATTTTGGAGAAAATTTCATTGATCTTAAGGCTCAATTCGATGTTCATGATGTTACATTAGTGATGTGATCACACGAATATGTTCGTAGGGTGTTTTTGAGGTAGTGTGCATACTTGGTTTAGAGTTTCGAGGGCTCGGGTGAGTTTCGAATAGGTTCCAGGATGCCTTAGGCTTAAAAAGATCAGATGTTGCAAGTTCAGGAATTTTGACAGATCTCTCAACCCTTTAGCGCGGCCNGGTCCGCGGTGAATGCTGTGCGGCCGCGGTCGGCCAGGTGCGGTCCACATGGGGCAATGATCCGCAGGTCTTCAGGAAGCCTGTGCGGCCACGATCCTTCTTGAGCGGTCTGCGGTGGGGACTTCAGAGGGGTATAAATACACGTGAATTTCAGCTATTTTTACACTTTTCAAAACCCCAAAACATAAGAGGCGAATTTCCAAACAACGTTTCTTCTCCAAAACGATTGGTAAGTGATTTCTTACTCATTTTCTTCACTTCTTAACATCTTTTAACATGATTTAAACTTCAAATCAAAGATTTTCATGGGGAAATTGGGTGTTTTGGGTAGAACCTAGGTTTTTCTAAAAATTGGGGATTTGGACCTCAATTTGAGATCCGATTTCAAAACAAACCATATATTTGGATTCGTGGGGAAATGAGTAATCGGGTTTTGGTCTGAACCTCGAGTTTCGACCATGTGGGTCCGGGGCCATTTTTGACCTTTTCGGGAAAAACCTTGTAAAATTTATTTTTATGCATTGTGGTTGATTCATTTAGCATTTATTAATGTGATTAAGTAACTTATGACTAGATTCGAGCGTATTGGTGGTGGAATCAAGAGGTAAAGTTATAATTGAGACTTGAGTGGCGTTCAAGGCATCGAGGTAAGTGTTCGGTCTAACCCTAGTTTAAGGGATTAGGAGTTGAGTAATATTTTCTACTTGCTTCTTATTGAGTACGACGTATAGGTAAGGTGACAAGTATCTATACGTTGGTGTCAAACATGACCGTGGGTCTTAAATTTGAAAGTTGTCGTGTTTTTAAATGACACCTTGTGTACTTTAATTAATGATCCTCTATGATTAAGTATTTCCATCAATTGAACCGAGTACTAGCAAAGTTAGATTGGTTATAGATGATTCTCCCTTGCCGGGATGACTATTTCGATATCTTTGCTCCCTTGCCGGGAAGTTATTATATTTCTTATGTTCCCTTGCCGGGATTTTTTGTGATTGTGCGATGAACTAAAACGAGAGCGGGTGGTACGCCTACCATAAGATATTATGAAATGGGAGCGGGTGGTACGCCTACAACAAGATATTATAAAATGGGAGCGGGTGGTACGCCTACCACAAGATATTATGAAATGGGAGCGGGTGGTACGCCTACCACAAGATAATGAAATGGGAGCGGGTGGTACGCCTACCACAAGATATGATGAAATGGGAGCGGGTGGTACGCCTACCACAAGATATGAGAAATGGGAACGGATTGCACGTCTGCAACAAGATGAAACTGAAAGTGAAAGTTGTCTTTACTTTTCTTTATCTGAGTTAGAAGTTATATTGTTAGCTTCCTTATTAGTGCTTGTTATCTTGTTTCTGTCAGCTACCCCCGAAGCATGTTTCCCCTTCCCCAGATTTGAACTGCTTATTACTTGTTTACTTTCCGCCATATCTTATATAACTGTACATGTTTATCTGTAGTCTGGTCCTAGCCTCGTCACTACCTCGCCGGGGTTAGGCCAGACACTTACCAGCACATGAGGTCGGTTGTGCTGATCCTACGCTCTGTGCTCTTTTGCACAGATCCCGGTCTTGGACAGCAGCGGTAGCGTGGGAGCCAGCCTTCAGTCCAGTGAGACACCGAGGTAGTCTTGCAGGCGTCCGCAGTCCGGCGTCTCCTCTATCTTTTATTTCAGTCTGTTATCTCATATATTCGAGACAAATAGTTTCTGTTGTTTCTTTCAAACAGTTGTATTTAACACTCTTAGAAGTTCGTGAGTAATGTGACACCAGTTCTTGGGTAGAGGCATGTATTAATTCTCGCATTATTGTTCGTTTTCTTTAAATTTAAGTCTTCCACATATTTATTTAATTCCGTTGCTTTCATGCTATCACTGATAATTGTTAAAAGAAGTAATTGTTAACGAAGTAAGCAGTTAAGGATTAGCTTGTGTAGCTCTCATTAGTAGGTATCATCACGACTCTCGAGGGTGATCTTTCTTTTTGCTTGCTATCTTTATTTGTTTTGTTAGTAATTTTAGTCTCATAATCGCGTGTAACTATAATATGATTGATGAAAAATCCAAATCTATTAATTTTGAATTACATAATTGAGTATTTTGTTTTGTTGATTTTTTTGTTAGTTACATTGTATTGAAATATTTTCTTTATTATGTCTTTTAAGTTTTGCGTTTGATAGAAATTATCAGTTATAAACCAAAGGTTCTTGGTTGGGGTTATTTTTTCACGGGATGGAGGGTTTCTAAGTACTCCTCTATGCCATAAATGTGAAATCCGACAAGATTTGATTTAGCTTAATCTTCCAGTATGCTCAAGTGTTCTTTACTATTCAATCCCATAGTGCTCTCTTTTGTTTGCTAATTATAATAACTTAGTTTGTTCTACGATGTTTGGGCAAAGAGTCTGAGCCGACTCGGGGCTCTAACGCCGAATTAGGGTAGAAAACTCTAATTTTTATTATTTCACTATAAATATGAACACAGAAAATACACACATTTACCTAACTACACAATTCTAAAAGTTACACGCTCTTTGGCCGTTGAAGATTTTTTAGAAGGCTACAACAGTTAACAAATTCAAAAATTTATCTTCGATTCCCACTTCTTTTAGCCATTGCTTTCTCTTTAAAATTTGTATCGTCATATTTCATAATGGATAAAACTGTACTCATTATTAATGCTTAAATTTATGAAAAATATTTTATTATTCGAAGTCAATTATGCATATGGCACTTTAACATTACAATTATAGAATTTTGACTATTTAAATAAAATAAAAATAAAGAAGAAAAAGAAGCTAAATTCGAGATTTTATTTTTAAAAAGTTGTTTTTTATGCACGCCAAAACTCTTTTCTATTAAAATTGTTTGGCATCAATTAATAATTGTTCTTCAAAAAAAAAAAAAAAAAAAATTGTTGGATAATTGTTGCTAACATTAAAACCTCCTTATAACATAAATTTATATGGTAACTCTAACACCAATTCATTAGTGTCCCATCTACTGTTGACATTTGGAAGAGATGTCAATTCAACATGAATAAGAACACTTTCAGCTACCTCTTACAAATATCCAAACGATTATGAAGCCAATGGTTTTTTTAAACAAAAATGACTAACGTTTATACTATCCTGCTCAAGCACAAGGAATTCTATAGATATAGCTACACAATTGATTGCACATGTATGTGGTTAATGAGTTACAATGCAAACAATTCAATTGTCCACCGCACAATCACGTGTGAGACATATTTTTATAATCAATTGTTGATTTTAGGATTTTGCTACCATAATTTCTTCCTTTCTTGAGTTAGTATATTATTAGCCTTCATTAGCTTTAAGGACTAAATTAAAGTAGAAATCAATAACAAAAAATGTTCTTAATATAGCAATAGGAAAAGATGGTGTAACTTATTATTCCACACAAAGATATAATAAAAGTTTGCCAATCAATCCATCACAACGCAAAAACCATGTTATGGATAAATAAAGAAAATGACTTCATGATAAAAGAGATCTATATTATATTTAAGTTATATTTTAATTTTTATATTTATGAATATGGAATACACCCGCAAAGCGCGTACCTTATGTAAGCATAAACTTTAATTGCACCAGGATCTTGAACATGATAATCTTACACGTAATTGTCATAGAAAACATACCTGAAGCGGAATCCACGATCTTGAAGCGGAAGCATTAATTGAAACTGGTTTCTCGCCCCTTGCCCTAACTTTATGTTACCGCCGCCANTCAAAAAGCGGTTAAAATATGGGTAAAGTAACATCAACACATATCGAAATATGCCCAACATCATACACATCCATCTTAAAATTTATATATTTGTGACAGTCATATCATAATGGTAGAAGTATATTTATAAAACAAGCACATGTCATGTATTAATCATTGATTTTGTATGGACATGCATGACCAGACGTAAGTATTCACGAAAGTATCAACACATGTATCTTGAATAAGATTGCATTAGCATTAGGAATTTTCTCAAACATACTTCCAAGTTCCCACTTCCCTTGAGATCACCTATAACATGAGGGAGATCAAGTACAGAGCACTTTATGGCAGGAAAAGCTTTGGCTATGGCAATTGCCAAAGTGCCAGTGCCACCTCCAACATCCACCAACGATGTCAACCCCTCAAAGACATGTTACACTCCGTAATAAGCACATTGGCAATCAAGCTCGAGTCATTAACCATTGAATCATTGAAGATATCATTTACTCTTGGCTCATCCGCGAAATAGTACCAAAAAGATTTCCCATTATGAGCATTATGAAAAGCAGTGGGGAAATCATTTTCAAAAAAAAGGCGACTAGCTGGGGTAAGAGAATAGTAATCTTTATGTTCATTTAGGAAACCAGAATGAACTAAAGAGCGCATGAGAATTGGCATGAAGGAGATTTTGGAAGGGTTGAGGGGAAGGGCAGCAGAGAGGTCGGAAAGACACATTGACTTACCATGTTTGTATAGGACATCGGAAATGCCTAGTTGAACTGCACATTTTGCTGCTGAAGAGCTTACGAAGTTGTAGATATGTTTCCATGTTTGAGTTTGAGCTTGGAGAGGTTCAGTGTAACCATTCTCATTCATTGCCATTTTCAAGGAACTTGTCTTGATTAGATTTGTCATCTTAAAGAAACCTATAATATGTTCTTATAGGACCAATTTAACTTCTATACACTTCAGGATTCCAATGTAAGCGTTAACTTTAAATTCATACCAGGATCTTGAACATAACAATCTTACATATAATCATTATAGAAAACATACCTGAATCATAAGTCATTATCACGAAGCGAAAGTGTTAATTGGAATTGGTTTCTTGCCCCCTGCCCTAGCTTTCGTTTCCGCCGCCTTTAGTGATGGAAAGGAGGAATAGAATAGGTGGTAACCCTAATTGGTGGGGAGAGGACCAATTGGGCCACACACGTAGAAAAACGTACATTGTCCCACTTGGCCCAATAATCATATAATATTAATATTTAATAATATAAATATTTGTTGCGCATAAACAAATCTCTTCTATAAAGCCCATCATAAATACCATAATACGATAAACTACTAAACGTGAGTTATGGCGGTTATATATAATTTATCTACATACTTTCTTCCATATACTACAACATTAGCAACTCATCGTATAAAGTCCATAAGCTATAAAACATTATGGTCCACAATAATTTCTCATTGAGACTAATCCTGTAATATCTCAAAACAATAATGTGTACACCATTATGAGAAACAGAAAATCATTAATGTATATCAGAAACATATAAATGAGCTCAGAGTGTCAAAATATCATAAATACATCAGTCATAAATATAGCCAAGACCTATTCTATGTACATGTTGTTTTAATATCTTTGGTTGTAAACCTTTCGTTAACGGATCTGCAATCATGAGATCAGTTCTAATATGCTCAAGTGACACTCTTTGTTTCTGAACTTTCTACTTGACGGTAAAGTACTTTAATTCCATATGTTTGGCACCTTTGGAGTACTTATCGTTCTTGGAAAAGAATACTGCTGCAGAATTATCACAGTAAATGTTTAGCGGCTTGGTAATGGTGTCGACAACCCCAAGTCCTGAAATGAAGTTTCGCAACCATAATGCATGAATTGTGCCTTCAAAACATGCCACAAATTCTACCTTCATCGTGGATGTAGCAATGAAAAACTATTTGGCACTATTCCATGATATTGCTCCTTCAACTAATTGGAACAAATAACCAAACATGGACTTTCTAGTGTCAATACATCCAACGAAATCTGAATACGAGTATCCAACAACTTCCAAATGCTTGGATCTCTTATACATGAGCATGTAATCCTTCGTTCCTTTCAGGTACCTCAAAACATTCTTTGCAACTTTCCAGTGATCACCTCCTGGGTTACTCTGATATCTTCCTAGCATTCCGACCGCAAAACTAATATCCGGTCTTTTGCAAGTCTGAGCATACATCAGACTACCAATAATAGAAGAGTAAGGAATTGATTCCATTTCTCTTTGTTCTACATCATTCTTAGGGCTCTACATGAGACTAAATTTGTCCCCTTTTTTGAATTGGAACAATTCCTGCAGAACAATTGTTCATGTTAAATCTCTCTAGAATTCTTTCGATATAGCCTTTCTAAGACAATCCCAATAATCCTTGTGATCTATCACAAAATATTTCTATTCCTATAACATAGGATGCCTCACCCATATCTTTCATTTCAAAATTCTTAGAGAGAAAATCTTTAGTCTCACGCAATATGTCTAAATCATTCGCAGCAAGTAGAATATCATCAACATATAGGACTAAAAATATAAACTTGCTCTCGATGATCTTTTGGTATATACACTGATCAACGATATTTTTTACAAATCCAAAAGATGTTATGGTATCATTAAACTTTATATACAATTGTTGTGAGGCTTGTTTAAGTCCATATATTGACTTCTTCAGTTTACACACCATTTGACCTTTACCTTTAGTTTCGAAACCCTTTGGTTGGTCCATATAAACTTCTTCCTCGAGGTGTCTATTAAGGAAGGCAATTTTCATATCCATTTGGTGTAACTCTAAATCATAATGAGCCACCAAAGCCAAAATAATTCTTAACGAGTCTTTCTTTGAGACCGGTTAAAAGGTCTCTTTATAATCAATGCCTCCTTTCTGAGTATAACCCTTGGCAACAACTCTGGCTTTATATCATTCAATATTTCCATCTGAATCGCGTTTGGTCTTTGTAATGACCCAACCAGTCATTTTGAATTTTAGAACCCCGTTCCCCTATATAAAACTCTCTGTATGTGCTTTTATTAATTTATGACTTGCGAGGATGGATGATTCGGGATTTGGAAGTGTTTGGGTTGAAATCGGAACACTTGGTTCCTTAGTTTGGCTTTAAAGGCCCAAGTTTGACTTCGATCAACATTCTGAGAAAACGACCCCGGAATCGAGATTTGGCAGTTCCAATAGGTTCGTATGATGATTTTGGACTTGGGCATATGTTCGAATCGGGTTTTGGATAACCCGGGTGCATTTCGGCGCTTAATAGTAACAACTAACTATTTGAAGGTTTAATGTTCTTTAAATTTGGTTTGGAGTAGGTTTTGGAGTAATTGAGGTCCGTTTGGAATTCCGAGCCTGAGAATAGCTCTGTATGGTGATTTAAGACTTGCACGTAAAATTTGGTGTCATTACGAGTAGTTTAAGTATATTTCGGCGCGTTCGGAGTAAGTTTGAAAATTTTGAAAATTCTAAGTTGAATCAATTTGGTTTGAGGTATGATTCTTAGTTTTGATGTTGTTTTACAGTTTTTGAGGGTTCGAGCGAGTATGTTTTATGATTTCAAACTTGTTGGTACGTTTGGACGGGGCCTCGGGTGTTAACCGGATGAGGCTCGGGTCGATTTTGGACCTTGAAGCAGCAGCTGAAGCTCTTGCTGCAACCGCACCTGCGCTTGGCCAGCCGCAGGTGCGAGGCCGCAGGTGTGAGGCCGCAGGTGCGAAGCTTGGCGCGCAGAAGCGGAAATGGGCGCAGATGCGAAGGCCCAAGTCGCAGAAGCGGACACGCGGAAGCGGTCCTGAGGCCGCAGATGCGGAGCTTAGCCAGGCGAGGGAAACTCGCACCTGCGAGGCTTTTTCTGCAGGTGCGGCTAGCCCTCCGTAGGTGCGAAAATATTGTTTGGAAGAATGGGTTAAAAATCGGCGCTCAGCCATTTTTGAGCCCATTTTCTCCATTCTTTGGCGATTTTGGAGCTTTTTGAGAGAGGATTTCAACTAGCAATATGGAAGTAAGTTAATTTTACACACTTTGAGTTAAATACATAGATTATGGATAGATTTTAATCTGTAAATCTTGAAAATCAAGGGTTTAGATGAAAAACCTAGGTTTTGACAAAAATGAGATTTTAACCACGAAAATGATTATGGAATTGGATGGAAGTTGTATATTCGAGTTCTTGAGATTATGGGTAACGATCTTATCCGAAAATTTCTGGAATCTGAGCACGTGGGCCCGGGATGAATTTTAGAAATTTACCATTTTGGATAGGGTAATTTATTTAGTAGTCTAATTTTGATTTTTCGAATATGCATTAATTATTTTATATAACATTTGGATAGTTTTGGAGTTTTCGGCACCGAATTGGGATTTTTACGCGACGTTGTGATCCAGAAGTGGGCTTTAAGGCAAGGTAAGTCTCTTGTCTAACCTTGTAATAGGAAATTTACCTCATAGGTGATTTAAATAAATAATTATTGCTAATTGGGGGCTACGTACGCACAAGGTGACGAGAGAGAGTGCGTAACTACTAATATTGCTAAAGTCCGGGTAGTTTAGGAATCAAATCATGAATTACTTGTGATAATTGTATCCTTATTTAATTAAAGCAATAGAATTATGTTGCAAATTGTTAGAGGAAACGGTAAAAGATTGAAATCTCACATACTTGAAATTTTGTTCAGAATATATATATATCCTCATTCTGGAGGTTATAAGAAAATGTCCTCCTTTCTTGTGGAGTGGGCCGAATGCCTCGGCAGTATAGATGTATCTATCGATCGCGTCGCACGTCCCTCAGCAGTGTTCACGACACTCTGGATCGGGTCGTATGACCTTGGCAAAAATCATGCCTAATAATAATAATTATACGATATCTTGAAATTTTAATTGTTGCTTGTGAAGTTAATTGATAAATTAGAAATTATTGAAATGTAAGAAATTAATTATTTCTAGTTCTTAAGAAACTTATTGTTGTTCATCTAAAAATCAGATTTAATTGAATATAAAATATATTGTAATATTATTGACCCATAGTGAATGTCAAAGTCTACCTCTTGTCACTACTTTTTCGAGATTAGGCTTGATACTTACTAGGTACACGTTATTTTTGTACTCATGCTACGTTTGCTACACTTTTTGTGCAGGACCTGAGACAAGTACTATCGGAGGACCTATCGGTGCACACCCACGTTATCCAGAGGCTTAGTGTTGAGCTGCCTTTCTGAGCCGTTCTGCAGCAACTAGTGCCTCTTCTTGTATTTGTATTTTGTCTATTTTATTTCAGACAGTATTTAGAATATTGTATAATCTACTAGATGCTCATACACTTGTGACACCAGGTCTTGGCACACACTAGTAGAATTTTTGGATTTAATTATTTTACTTGGGTTTTAATTTATCTTATTTCTCACATTATCTTAATTTTTGCAAGTACTACGAGTTTTATTATTCGGATAAATTTTTAAAGAAATCAATATATGTTTAAATCATTAGTTGGCTTGCCTAACTGGGATGTTGGACTCCATCACGACCTATAGGTGAATTTGGGTCGTGACTACATGATATTAGAGCACTAGGTTCACTTAGGTCTCACAAGTTATGAGCAAGCCTAATAGAGTCTTGCGGATCTGCACTTATCTTCGAGAGGCTATAGGGTGTTAGGAAAACTACCTTTCCTCATCTCCATCGTGCAAATAATGTAGTACTAAATATCTTTCTCTTATTCTCTCACAGATGGTGAGAATGCACTCTAATGAGGTTCCAAACCAGGGAAGAGCTACTCCCCCTGTTGTTAGAGGTCGAGGCAGAGGCCGAGGGAGGGCTCC